TTTTACATTAAAAAAAAAGTTAGGACCCTTGAGAAAGTTTGACATTCTTAAAAAAATAGATTTGGAGCCTCCGAGAAGGCTTTACATTTTTAAAAAGACAATTGGCGACTCGAGAAGGTTTTACATTTAAAAATAATACATTTGGGGCTCCCGAGAAGGTTTTACATTTAAAAATAATACATTTGGGACCCCCGAGAAGATTTCACATTAAAAAAAAAAAGTTGGGACCCTTGAGAAAGTTTCACATTCTTAAAAAAATAGATTTGGAGCCTCCGAGAAGGTTTTACATTTAAAAATAATACATTTCGGGTTCCCGAAAAGGTTTTGCATTTAAAAATAATACATTTGGGACCCCCGAGAAGATTTTACATTAAAAAAAAAAGTTGGGACCCTTGAGAAAGTTTTACATTCTTAAAAAAATAGATTTGGAGCCCCCGAGAAGGTTTTACATTTAAAAAGAATAGTTTTGGGGCTCCCGAGAAGGTTTTACATTTTTAAAAAAGACAACTGGGACCGACGACAAGGTTTCACATAAAAAAAATCATTTGGGGCCCCCGAGAAGTTTTTATAATTTAAAAAAAGTTAGTTGGGACCGCCGAGAAGGTTTCACATTTAAAAAAAGACAATTGGCGCCCCGAGAAGGTTTTACATTTTTAAAAAAGACAATTGGGACAACCGAGAAGGTATCACATTAAAGACAATTGGCGCCCCGAGAAGGTTTTACATTTAAAAATAATACATTTGGGACCCCCGAGAAGATTTTACATTAAAAAAAAACTTGGGACCCTTGAGAAAGTTTCACATTCTTAAAAAAATAGATTTGGAGCCTCCGAGGTTTTACATTTTTAAAAAGACAATTGGCGACTCGAGAAGGTTTTACATTTAAAAAGAATACATTTGGGGCTCCCGAGAAGGTTTTACATTTTTAAAAAAGACAGTTGGGACCCCCGAGAAGGTTTTACATTTTTAAAAAGACAATTGGCGCCCCGAGAAGGTTTTACATTTAAAAATAATACATTTGGGACCCCCGAGAAGATTTTACATTAAAAAAAAGACAATTGGCGTCCCGATGTTTTACATAAAAAAAAAATTATGTTTGGAGCCCCCGAGGTTTCACATTTAAAAAAAGACAATTGGCGCCCCGAGAAGGTTTTACATTTAAAAATAAAACATTTGGGGCCCCGAGAAGATTTTACATTAAAAAAAAAAGTTGGCACCCTTGAGAAAGTTTCACATTCTTAAAAAAATAGATTTGGAGCCTCCGAGAAGGTTTTACATTTTTAATGAGACAATTGGCGACTCGAGAAGGTTTTACATTTAAAAATAATACATTTGGGACCCCCGAGAAGATTTTACATTAAAAAAAAATATGTTTGGAGCCCCCGAGAAGGTTTTACATTTTTAAAAAAGACAGTTGGGACCCCCGAAAAGGTTTCACATTTAAAAAAAGACAATTGGCGCCCCGAGAAGTTTTTACATTTAAAAATAATACATTTGGGACCCCCGAGAAGGTTTTACATTTAAAAAAAGACAATTGGCGTCCCGAGGTTTTACATAAAAAAAAAATTATGTTTGGAGCCCCCGAGAAGGTTTCACATTTAAAAAAAGACAATTGGCGCCCCGAGAAGGTTTTACATTTAAAAATAAAACATTTGGGGCCCCGAGAAGATTTTACATTAAAAAAAAAAAAAAAGTTGGCACCCTTGAGAAAGTTTCACATTCTTAAAAAAATAGATTTGGAGCCTCCGAGAAGGTGTTACATTTTTAATAAGACAATTGGCGACTCGAGAAGGTTTTACATTTAAAAATAATACATTTGGGGCTCCTGAGAAGGTTTTACATTTAAAAATAATACATTTGGGACCCCCGAGAAGATTTTATATTAAAAAAAAATATATGTTTGGAGCCCCCGAGAAGGTTTTACATTTTTAAAAAAAGACAGTTGCGACCCCCGAGAAGGTTTCTCATTAAAAAAAAATTTATTTGGACCCCTCTGAGGTTTTACATTTTTAAAAAAGACAACTGGGACCGACGACAAGGTTTCACATAAAAAAAATACATTTGGGGCTCCCGAGAAGTTTTTATATTTTAAAAAAAGTTAGTTGGGACCCCCGAGGAGGTTTCAGATTTAAAAAAAGACAATTGGCGCCCCGAGAAGGTTTTACATTTTTAAAAAAGACAATTGGGACAACCGAGAAGGTATCACATTTAAAAAAAGACAATTGGCGCCCCGACAAGGTTTTACATTTAAAAATAAAACATTTGGGGCTCCCGAGAAGTCTTTATATTTTAAAAAAAGTTAGTTGGGACCCCCGAGAAGGTTTCACATTTAAAAAAAGACAATTGGCGCCCCGAGAAGGTTTTACATTTTTAAAAAAGACAATTGGGACAACCGAGAAGGTATCACATTTAAAAAAAGACAATTGGCGACAAGGTTTTACATTTAAAAATAAAACATTTGGGGCTCCCGAGAAGCTTTTACATTTTTAAACAAGACAGTTGGGACCTCCGAGAAGGTTTCCCATTAAAAAAATAGATTTCGAGCCCCTGAGAAGGTTTTACATGTTTAAAAAAGACAGTTGGGACCCTCGAGAAGGTTTCACATAAAAAAAAAACAATTGGGCCCCGAGAAAGTTGCACATTCCAGGGTTCAGAGCAGTTGTAAATATCAAAAGTAGCCAAAATAGTTGTTCATTTACGCTAAAAACGTAAAGAAAAGCCACGACTTTTCGTGCAATTTTAATTATTAAAAATGTATAAAAACACAATAAACTCTACAAAGTAAGAATATATGTATTATAAATTACTAAGTGAGCCAGCAAACGTGGTTTTGCCGTATACATTATTTCTAGTGAATATTTTGGTAGTTAAATAAACAATTACATTAAAATAAATTAATTAATTAAGTAAAATTAAATTAAATTATACATTAAACATAAAAATTTATTGTACGACAATGATTATATACAACAGCCATCTTGCAACCCTATTGCGCATGTGTGGATGAAAGTAAAGATACTAATATCATTATTAAAAAATGGGGGTTGGTGGTAGAAAAAAAAATAATAAAGAAAACATTTTTCAGCTAGGGGTATAAAAAATAGTTTACGACCTATTCTCAGACCTACCGAATATACACAAAAAAATTCATAACAATCCGTCAAACCGTTTCGGAGGAGTTTGATAACAAACGCCGTGACAGGAGAATTTTATATAGGAGTATTAGATCGTAAATATTAATTTTAATTTTAATCAAGTTCTCTTCTTTTGCTTAAATGACTAATAATTAAATCACCATTTTTTTTTTTTTTTTGATTAGGTATTTTGCTTTCAGCCAATAATTTATTGCCTGTAGCACACAGTCTTTGTTAATATTCACTTGATCCTTATATTCGTCTTGTGTACTTCTTAAATTATTTTCTAAAGCGTTAGTATCGATTTTATTTGAGTTTCTATTTCCTTCATTTCAAGCTTCAATTTTTGTTCTTCGTCATCCCTCCTTGTGTAAATAATACTTGAAGAATTATTTTGATTAGCATTTAACCATCTACACGATATTTCTACTATACATACAAAATTTTACAACAACGGTCCAGGAGTTTCGGAAACTACGTCTAATAAAAATGGATACCGACACCAGATAGATAGAACGACAGACCGACAGATTCTTCCTAAAATCTACCTGTGTAAAGTGGATAGACAATCATGGGACATGGCTCATAAAACCATTATAAGTAAATATTGACTTGTATTGATTATTTATGACAGGCTGTCGGCAATAGACCTTCAACTTAGAATAATCGTTTTCCGTATTGTTTTGAAAAATGTATCAGAATTAAACTTAAGTTAATTATTCTATTTACATATTTAAGGAATTTAATATTTCCCTTTTATTGTATTTTAAAGTGACGGAAGTAATTGTGTGACAGATACGTCAATCATGACATGCGATAAATTTAGGTTTAGGTTATGTTTTGGGTATATACCAATTTTATTTATTTAATGTTTGGCAAAAATTGAGTTTTACAAATTACACAAGACATTGTTAAAGAGCTTATGTACCTATTGGGTTTAAATCCGCTTTGTGGGGACGAACCAGGTATAATTCCAACAGGTCAGGTAAACGATTCATACAAAAAGCCGAACAATACTTTTGGGTTAAAAGTAATTCGTTACAACTCATTGCTTGGAAAGTAATTGAATTACAGTACTGAATGAATTACTTACATTAGTGTAGGGTGTTCGGTTCGCAAGTTTAAATATCGTGGCGCTCCTAGCGGCAAGACTTGAACTAACCACTCAAACCGTGTTAATTCAAACCAACTTTATTCAGTAATTAATTTTGCGATATTTTGATTTTATACGACTAATTTAAATTAGGTTTTGTCATGGAAATGTTGTTGTTATTGTTATAAAATAAAATTCTGGTCAGAAAGCGTAATCACGTCCGGCTAATCTAGCCGCCTCGTATCTCGCTGTCAAACAGTTATTTCCTCGACACGACCCGTACACTGCAATCGAAAATGATCTTAATGCCGCCTGTCATCGATCGTCTTACTCCACCGTAATTTCGATTGTCAACAGCCGTTAGTGGCAACAAGAGCGTCAATAAACACCAATTTAGCAACGCACTCTTCGAGAGCACCCCGTACCAACACATGCTCACACGTCGCGGTGGAATTCCACCAAATCACTCGTTTACCTTGAACCTCGCGAGATAGGCAACCAATAAAACGGGCCAAATCCGGATGCACCCCGACTGCATAACCTCCTCCAATCGCGCTCCTCCTCCGCCAGGTAACCTAAAAATCGCCGATTCCACTCACTCGGTACATCACGGTTTCACTTTCCACCACGGGAACTGCTCGAGGTGGCTGCATGTGCGGCAATGTCAATTTCTTTGTACACCATTCCTCCTCCTACCACCATTTGTTGCAGAGCGCCAGTATAAACGACTAATGACGGAATAATACGACTTTTTACGAGCGCGGCTCTGTATCGTGACGTCATATAATTAGAGTAAATACAAAGTAGACGATGGTGTCAGCGTGTTGTTTGTAGTGCTCTGTGATTAATAGTGAAGAAAAAAATGGATAATAGCGAAATTCAGGTAGGGAAAATATTTCGGGGGCGCGGGAAGGCTCCGGGGAGGCGTTCGGAGTGTTGTTTAATTTTTTCGACGCGGATCATTGTTGTTTTTTTTAAATATTGGTGTGCGGGGGGAGGGGGGGAGGTGGTCCGAGTTGTCAAAAACCCGAAGGGGTTTTTCGGGGAGGGCGAAACGTCGGGGCGCACAATAAACAAATTTGAATTATAATTTAATTTCGGGTAAATGAGATACGATTTTGTTTATTGGGCGATTAGGTTTGACAATGGTCACGCTCGGTTGCACTATTTACTTTTTAAATGTGGGGAGTAATTTGGTTTTTGTTTTGTTTCAGCTGGTGGGGGGGCCCTGCGGCCAACACGGGCCATATACGTTCTATAAGGCATTTAAATACACGAAAAACGGCGTCAAGAGAATAGTGACTTTGAGTGAATTTTTCTTTGTTAAATTGTGGATCGACTCGGATTTATTGTGCATTGGTGAATTGCAGTTGTTATGGAGTGATAAAAATAGTGACCAAGTGTTGGCGAGTTTGCGGCTTTATTTTCTTCCAGAGAACACACCGGAAGGCCGGATGGACCACGGAGAGGTATATTATTACAATTTTATCTAGTCAGTTTCGATAGCAGCGTTATCATTAGAGATAACTCCGCGTTGTGTTTTTCGTTCGAATTTTATAAGGATTTGCAATTACGAGCGTCATTTAATTATAAATCAGTTTTTCTTTTTAACTATTTTTAATGTAAATGAAGCCTTGGAAGTCGAACGCAGCCCGTCCGGTATCAGTAGGGAGCGCGGCGCGCTCCCACTTCCAATAACACGACGCGCGGTTCTCACAGCAGCAAATTTGCCGCTCGCTACCGATCCCATCCAACATTCCCTCCAGTAGAGCTACACTTGAGCCGGTTTACAAAGATTATCCCACTCTAGTTTATGTTTCTCTTTCTACTTTATATATGACGTTATTATTTCTATATCCGAAACTTATTGTTGTAATTTAAAGTCGATTTATAACAGGTGGAAATGCAATTTCGACCATATCGCGACTTCGAACATGATTACGCGTCCATAATTAATGCAACGACGTTCACACGTATAAATAAACAAGCGCTTTTTTGCTGGCTTTATCACGAAAATAGACTTTCGCCGATTCGTATCAAAACTTACTTCGCACTCTCTCGAATTGTACATAATTATTAGAGGAATCCAAATGTGTACATTGTTAAATATTTATTCCTTCCATTGTCCTCTCGAACGCTCGACTCGCTTACTTTTCGTTTTTTATCCCGAACGTTTACCACATTCTTTTCGTTATACAACGACCAACTAAACCAAACCGTAATAATTATCCCAGATAATTTAATTGCCGAGATAACTCGCGTTATGCATGTTGACAATTCACGCCATGTATTTTACATTAACATCGTTTCCAAACATGACGCAGCTGCAGCTCGTATTTATTCGATTTAAATAATTTCCAACAAAAAGAAAAGTCGGATTCGTGGTTTGTGATTGTGCCCTTGAAACACAACTAAGTCATAAATTATGGACCGGTTTAAGCACCATTTTTTCATAGAGCGATGGATTAATTGAACGTTTTTAAGTAGGTGTAAGTAATGATAAGTTAAAAGTTTGATGGAATTACTCATTTCGAGATAAAGTCGGTCGACGAAGATAAATTTAACTAGCTTGGCAAATCTTTGGTTGTGTTTACAGTTAGTCAACAGAAATTGTAGACAGTGGCGTGGGAATGCATCCAACATTGTTATAAGTTATTTTTTTATTTAACCGCGAAATTTATAAACGTTAAATTCGCCTAATTCAATTAATTAACGGATTCTGGGCGTTTTTCGATTTTTCAAATATTTGCGTTCGCTTTCACTGGCGTGACGTAAGCGCATGATTTATTTAATTGTGGAGAATTTTTCAACTCGCGCTTAATTTAATAATTTTCTTTATGTTCACGAAAAATCGTTTCGTAAACCGTGACTTACACTGAATAAACACAGGCTATCTTTAAAAGTGTGATCATCAAATGTGCGGAAAAATGTGCAAAATTAACTGTGTAGATTCCAAAGAATTCTGTTGTCGCATTAATTATAATTGATATGCAAATTGCGTGTTTTTCCGGCTATTGTTGTTAATAACAACTCTATTGTTACGATTTGATAAAATAACACGTTTAGCAAGAGTGAGGTTATGTCTACAATTTAAAGCGAGTTTTGTTGCGACTGCTTCAAAATTGATAAAGTTATTTGAACAAAACTTTCCTCATCCCTAAAGCGGAATTATAATTAAACAAGAACATTTTCTTGGATTAGTTAATTCAAACTAGACCATAATGCCGTCAGTCAGGTTTTAGAAGGGATGTAAAGATGTACAGGTGAATCGCTAAATCTGTATGGTTAGTTTTTTTAAATAGAATACGATTCTACGTTATTTCTTTTTCCTTACTCTGTGTATTAAACCTCAATTTCATTAATACCACAATAAAAAGCGTATCTTTGTTTATCTTTCCACCAAATATTGTAACCTAGATTTTAATAATAACGCTGTTACGATTTTTTGAAATTTTGTAACGTTGAAACGTTTATTAAAAAAATTTCAAAAAATTGGCAAGGTCGCATCGGAATTGCGAAATTAAACTATGGTTATAAAGTATTACTAGAGGTTAATCAGAATAAGTAAAAATTAATTACGCCTTAAAAACTGAAGACTCTGTACAGTTGAAAATTATTTTGGTATATGGTACTGAAAAAACTGTACAACTTTTTTTTTTATTTCTAATATAATGAGATATTTAGGACTTTATTAATTTTTTTGAAACATTCGAAATTTACTTAGCAAAATTTTAAAATGACGCTATCTGGATTTTGCAAGGGTTGAATAGATGCATTCATTAATCAATATTTCTGTTGCACTATTTTATGGATAGATAAACAGAGACACGCGCTTTGTTATGGTACCAATTAAATAAAATTTTAATGTAGTGTTTATTAAAAAAAAAATCAATATAGAAAATAATAAAATATTTATTAGAAAACAAAGAAAACAAAAAACAAGAAGATGCGCTAATAAAATACATACATTTTGACTTCTGATAAGCCCCGCCCACCCACCCGCATCGAAAGTCCGATTAATTTTTGATTCCTTGTCAGATCGAGGGGCGGAGCGTAACTGCAAAATCTATATTTGCTTAAAAAAATTACCAATTGGATAAAGTTTTAGTCTTTGGTTGTGAAAAGAAAACTACGTACAGTAAGAAAAACATGACAAAATGCAAGCCCCGCCCACCCGCCCAATCACAACTGTGATGATTTTTTTATGCATAGGCGGGGCTTATATTTTGCTTTTTTTGGTATCCGTAATTTTCTCTCATAAGAAGAAACTGAAAACATGCTAAAATGTTTAAATTTTTTAGGGAAATAGTGATTTTGCAATTAAGCTCCGCCCCTTGGCTCACGGCGAATAAGAAAGATTGTCACAATTGAGGTGGGGTGGGTGGGCGGGGCTTATCTTAAGGTTTCTGTTTTTTTCTAAATATTGGAAATCTTCTTTATGCAACAAAAAACTTAAAACATGGTCAAAACGGTAAATTTTCGTACAGAAATACATATATTTCAAAAATGGCAAAATATAAACCCCGCCCACCCGCCCGTGTCTCAATTCGGATTAACTTTTCATTCCTTGTCAGACCGAGGGATGAACCGTAATTGCAAAATCCGTATTTGCTTAAAAAATATATCAATTTGATAGCTTTAAGTCTTTGGTTGTGAAAAGAAAATACAATAAGAAAAATAGGACAAAATGCAAACCCCGCCCACCCGCCCTATCTCAACTGTGATGATCTTTTTATGCATGGGCGGGGCTTATATTTTCCTTTTTTTTTCTATACGTAATTTCCTTTTCATAACAAGAAACTGAAAACAAGATTAAAATGGTAAAATTTTGTAGGGAAATAACTACTGATTTTGCAATTAAGCTCCTCCCTCTGGCTCACGACGAATAAAAAAAATCATTACAATTGAGATGGGGTGGGTGGGCGGGGCTTATGTTATGTTTTCTGTTTCGTTCTTAATATTCGTAATCTTTTGTCCACAACAAGAAACTTAAAACATGGTCAAAATGGTAAATTTTCGTAAAGAAATAGATTTTTAAAAAGGCAAAATATAAACCCCGCCCACCCGCCCGTGTCTCAATTCGGATTAATTTTTCATTCCTTGTCAGACCAAGGGGCGGAGCGTAACTGCAAAATCTATATTTGTTTAAAAAAGTTTACCAATTTGATAAAGTTTTTGGTTGTGAAAAGAAAACTACGTATAGTAAGAAAAACAGGAGAAAATGCAAGGCCCGCCCACCCGCCCTATCTCAACTGTGATGATTTGTTTATGCATGGGTGGCGTTTATATTGTGTTTTTTTTAGTATACGTAATTTTCTTTCATAACAAGAAACTGAAAACAAGTTTAAAATGGTAAAGTTTTGTAGGGAAATACTGATTTTGCAATTAAGCTCCTCCCTCTGGCTCACGACGAATAAAAAAATCATTACAATTGAGATGGGGTGGGTGGGCGGGGCTGATATTTTGACTTTTGTTTCTATCTGAATATTTGTAATCTTCAGTCCACAAAACGAAACCTAAAACATGGTCAAAGTGGTAAATTTTCGTAGAGAAATATATTTTTAAAAAGGCAAAATATAAACCCCGCCCACCCACCCTCGTCTCAATTCGGATTAATTTTTCATTCCTTGTCAGACCGAGGGGCGGAGCGTAACTGCAAAATCTATATTTGCTTAAAAAATTGCCAATTTGATAAAGTTTCAGTCTTTGGTTGTGAAAAGAAAACTACGTACAGTAAGAAAAACAGGACAAAATGCAAGCCCCGCCCACCCGCCCTATCTCACCTTGTGATGATTTTTTATACGTGGGCGGGGCTTATATTTTGCCTTTTTTTAGAATACGTAATTTTCTTTTCATAACAAGAAATTGAAAACAACTTTAAAATGGTAAAATTTTGTAGGAAAATACAGATTTTGCAATTAAGCTCCGCCCCCTGAATCACGACGAATAAGAAAAATCATCCCAATTGAGATGGGGTGGGTGGGCGGGGTTTATCTTTTGACTTATGTTTCTTTCTTTCTATATTCGTAGTTTTTTGTCTACAACAAGAAACTTAAAACAATGTCAAAGTGGTAAATTTTCATATATTTAGAAATATATTTTTAAAATGTCAAAATATAAACCCCGCCCACCCACCCTCTTCTACATTTCGATTAATTTTTCATTCCTTGTCAGACCAAGGGGCGGAGCGTAATTGCAAAATCCATATTTGTTTAAAAAAAATACCAATTTGATAGTTTTGAGTCTTTGGATGTGAAAAGAAGGCTACGTATAGTAAGAAAAACAGGACAAAATTCAAACCCCGCCCACCCGCCCTATGTCCACTCTGATGATTTTTTTGTGCATGGGCGGGGCTTATATTTTGCTTTATTTTTAGTATACGTAACTTTCTTTTATAACAAGAAACTGAAAACAAGTTTAAAATGGCAATATTTTGTACGAAAATACTGATTTTGCTATTAAGCTCCGC